AGCTCTCGAGTCGGTGATCCAGGCGAGCAAGTGATTTCGTCTCCGCAGGGAATCAGATCGACGGATGACGCCGTGCTAACTACTGAAGAGCATGGGCTGGCCACTGGCGGTGAATATTGGTCACCCAAGTAGTCCGTTTCCTCGGGAGAACCTGTCGATGTTTCTGGCGACGGACCAAAGACGGAAGTCGTGAATTTGAATAGTGTTTGTGGGCTGGGTAAAGGTGACGGGTGTGGACCGAGATTCAATTCCTCCATTTCTTGCAGGCTAGGACCATCCTTTACTGTGTCGATGGTCGCCATTGCTTCTTCGAGAGGCTGGACAACATATTCGGGGTAGGCAGCCGCCAAGAAGTCAGCGATGCCAGATTTCGGATGCTCCTCGACGATGAGATCGTCCTCCGCAGTCATTATACCCTCGGCATACCCTACTCCCGGTTGCCCAGGACTGCTGAAGTTTCCTGCTTCTCTGATTAGAGCCCGTGGACATGGTGATAAAGCAGCGCAAACACTGCAAGCAGAATGCTTTTTGCTGCTAACCTCCAGAAGTCTGTCAAGAATATTCAGGAGATCCTGTGTGTTCCAGGTCTGCCAGGTCTGGGTGAGTCTAGGCGGCGCATCCTGCTCACAATGCCATTAGCAAATGGCAAACACGAGCAAAAGAGACTGGGCGCTCTGATCATGACAATCAGACCTCCTTGAGCCTCTTCGCTGGTCTGCCCAGCAGGGTATCATCCGGAAGCCCACTGCGCTTGGAGCCTGGCAGACTCGACGTCCTAATGTCGTTGTCATCGGCTTTGACGGCGCGGCGCGGATACTCGATCTTGGATCCTTCGAAGCAATCGTCGCTAGGCTTCTGGCCGTCGGCCAGTCCAATCTTGAAATACGGATGGTGCAAGGCCTGCTCAGCGGTAAGACGATTCTTAGGGTCGTATTCGAGCAAGCCCTGCAGGAGAGCATAGCCCTCTGGACCAGGAGTTTCACCAGGCCTGTCAGGATAACCATTGGTTCTCATGCAAGAGTCGTACCAGGCCCGGAGGCCCATGGGCCTGTTGATGCGTGGATTACCGGCGGAGAGCGAGGGGAGCTGCGGATACTCGGGCATGGCACGGAGAAGCGGCCACTCTTCGACACGGGGCATGCCCATTATCTCGACGATTCTTTGCATCTGGTTGCGCTGGAAGGGGGGCTGTTTCTTATTGTCGAGCTTGGCCTCTTCTCCCTTGAAGATAGGCCGCAAAGCCAACAGCTCAGCAAAAATGCACCCAACCGCCCAGAGGTCGATGGCAGGTGTGTAGTGCCTGGCGCCGAGTAAGAGCTCGGGAGCACGATACCAGATGGTTACGACAACCTTATCGCCGCTGTAGAGGGAGCCAAGGGGCTTGTAGAACAGTCTTGCCAGCCCGAGGTCACCAATCTTGACGGCACCGGCGCCCGTAACCATGATGTTGGCTGGTTTGAGGTCACGGTGCATGACCCAATTCCTGTGCAGGTAATGGAGGCCTTTGAGCAATTGATACAAGATGGATTGGATGGTCCTGGCTGGAATGGGCTGGCGGGGCGTTTGCGTGTGGTGATGGACAATCTGGAGCAAGTCGTGTTCGGCGTACTCAAAGACGATGAAGATGCACTTGTCCTCAAGAATGATTTCAACCGTGTGGACCACGTTTGGATGCTCGAGCTCTGTGCACAAGGCCATCTCGCGAATGGCAGATTGAGAGATTCCCGTGTACTGGATCTCGCCTTCCTTGTCGGGCTTGAATCTGGTGAGGGGGGGTTAGACGGCGGGTTGCCTGATGGGGAAATATTGATGGGACAGGGATAGGCAAACTTTTTGATGGCAAACAAGCCAACCTGGCCGGTCCTGCTCTGAGCCTTGAAGACTCGTCCATAGGTGCCGCTACTGATGAAGCCCAGGATCTTGTAGCGCTCCTGGACGCGCTTCTTGCTCGAGTAGCCGCCGGCCAGCATGACGGCGGGTTCAGAGGATGGAGCTGTCAAGGGCGTCTGGTTAGGATTTGATTGCCAAAGGAAAAAGCGCCAGCGCACGACAAGGACAACAAGCAAGCAGGGCGGCAAGGGCGGCACTGAAATGCCGTCCGTTCAACAGACTGAAGGAAAGGAAAGGAAGGAGAGGCGCCGACGAAGGCTTGGAAGAGGGTCAAGGCTGGGCTGGGGTTATCGATACCGAGCGTGGTATGAGGTAAGCTGTTTGTGTGCATCATTACACCGGCCAGCAGCTGGCCACTGCCGCTGCCACTGCCGACTGCGGATGCGGATGCGGATGCGGGCGCCGAGCAGTAATCTGGGGATTTGGAAGCCATCGGATGGTTTGTCTGGCTTTCTAAGGTCGGGACGAACGCGTCCAACATGTTGCTGTAACAGCTGCCAGCCGGCGCGGGAAGCTAGTTGGCTCAAGTCATGGCCTCCTCGAGCCCATTCCTGCACTGAGCTAGCGGCAACCACTTACCCTGGTCCTCACCCCAACTCTCTGCTAGATGGGCGCGACGTCGTTGGTCATGCCGACGGCCTATTCCCCCATACACCTTGTTTCCGGCCATCGCAAAGCTGTGTTCAACAACACCTGCGCCGCTACTCTTGATGACTGGACCCCCGGCTGCTTGCACACTTCTAGCCTGCGCCCACACGCGGTACTCTACCCGCTCCCTTGGACTCCGCTATCCAGGAGAAGCCCGTCTCGAGTCTTGGGCATAGGTATGCTTCCTCAGCCCGCCACAACCACCACCACAAGTTGACATCCGCCGCGGTCCGGAGCTTTCCACCCTTTCCCTCAGCTCGCTCGCCATGGATTTCCGAAGCTGGGCCAGGGACCTGACGGCCTACTTCATCTTCCTTCTCATCACAGCCACGCTGGGCCCGCTGCTGTTTGGCTTCCATCTGGCCGAGCTGAACACGCCCGAAGATGTCATCAGGTGCAAGAAGAAATCGCTGTTCGCCAGATCGGCCGCCAAGCTCCCGCAATGCATGCCCATGGACCCGGCCCAATGGGGTCTCGTAGGCTCCATCTTCACCCTGGGCGGTCTAATCGGCGCCCTGTCTGCCGGCCCCGTGGCAGGCCGCTACGGTCGTCTAAAGTGCATGCAGTTCACCACCGTCTTTTTTGTCCTTGGTCCCGTTCTCGAGGCATTGTCCCCCTCTATTGGCGTGCTCGTCTTCGGCCGCTTTATTTCTGGTCTGGGTGCTGGTGTTGCCGTCGTCGTTGTCCCCATTTACATCTCTGAGGTTGCGCCTCCGGCCGAGCGCGGTTTCTTTGGCTCCTTCACCCAAATTATGTGCAATGTAGGCATCTTGATTACGCAGCTGCTGGGATATTTCCTCAGCCATGGCCGCATGTGGAGGCTGATTCTCGCTGCCGCCGGTGTGATCGGAGTCATCCAAGCAGTTGGACTCATTGCTGGAGTCGAGAGCCCCAAGTGGCTCGCGGACCAAGGAAGGCCCTCTAATGCAAAGAAGAATCTCCGCAAAATCAGAGGCCAAGATGCCAACATAAACGAAGAGATTCAGCAATGGGGCGTTGGAGACGTTGACCAGATGAGTGGTGCGTGTGGCCCCTCGAAGCCCCCGACACATCTAACAACCCCCTTTAGACGAAGAGGAGGCGCTCCTCAACAACCCAGAAGATAGCACCATATTGCCGCCCCCAGACAAGGCCAACAAATCACCGATGGGAACTCTGTCCGTTCTCACGCACCCCGAGACAGCGCGCGCCACCTTCTCCGTCATGATGGTGATGCTGGCCCAGCAGTTCACCGGCATCAACAGCATCATCATGTACGGCGTCTCCCTCCTCGCGACACTGCTCGCAGCCAACTCAGCGCTCCTCAACCTGCTCGTCTCCGTCGTCAACATCATCGCTACGACGAGCGGCGCGCTGCTCGTCGAGCGCCTCGGCCGCAAGACGTGCATCCTCGGCTCCATCTCCGGCATGGGCGTCTCGTCGCTGTTGCTCGGCATCTCCATCCTGCGGCACATCCCTATCATGTCGGCCATCGCCGTCGTCGGCTTCGTGGCGAGCTTCGGGCTGGGGCTGGGCCCCGTCCCCTTCATCCTGGCCAGCGAGCTGGTCGGGCCCGAGGCCGTCGGCGCCGTGCAGAGCTGGGCCCTCGCCGCCAACTGGGTCGCCACGTTCGTCGTCGCCCAGTTCTTCCCCATCCTCAGCGCTCGCCTGGGCGGGCACGTCTTCTTCATCTTTGCGGCGCTTGCGATCGTCTTTGGCGCTTTTGTCGCGTTTTTTGTCCCCGAGACCAAGGGGAAGCGGAATGCTGATGAGGTGTGGGGCCGCCAGAGACCGGCGTCGACGAGGGAGGATTAGACGCGTGTGTATGTGGGTGAGAGATTGCGAAGTGCTAGCGCAGCGGTCGTCGTGCCATGCCACTCATCGATACAGTGAGCATGCAGTTCTTGTCAAATTGTTTTCCCGTCTTTCTCCTTTACCGCCTTGTCTCATTGAACCTTGCGCCGCGTTTTCCACTCGTTGCATCCCATATTTGCACCCCATCCAGCCGGCGATTGTTTGGAGTTGGTGGCGATGGGTTGGTTTGTTGGTCGGTCGGTCAATTCATATGGGACACGAGTTACGATCGCCAGACAGACAGACAGACAGACAGACAGACAGACAGACAGACAGACAGACAGACAGAGATGAAAGAAGAGCAGGCCGGAAGTTGGCGTTTGTCCATCTAGGTCTCCCACAAACTCTAATGATCTCGTTCAAGCTGCTTTCGACCTTCCCTGCTTCTTCCCCTGCGTGACCTACCCTCTCCTATCCATATTGACAACTTGCGCACAGTCTTCATCGCCTACTTCAGACTCAGTCACCCTTCAACTGATCACAGGATTTGCGTGCGTCTCCGCCCAACTCCCTAACCCCTTCCCAGCAACCCAGCAACCCAGCAACCCAGCAACCCAGCAACCCAGCAACCCAGCAACCACCCCTACGACCAGATAAACCACAAAACTCAAGGCCCCCACATCGAACAATCCGTCGTGGTGCAGTGGTAGCCACGCTAGATAAATATCTGAGGAGCACGTCGGCACTGCCATGTGGAGCCCAATGGGTCAGCCATTGGGGAGCCCGCCCCGGGGTAGGGGAGCTCAGTTCAAAGTTCAGAGACCCGAGTTCGATTCTCGGCGACGGAATGTCTTTTTGTTTTGCGTCTGTGTTCTTTTCCACTGTACATGTGCGCGGGGGATGAGGGAGGGTGTGGTGGGGGTCTTAAGGAGAGGAGAAGGGGGGAGAGGGGGCATCTGGGCTAGGGAGGTTGAGCTTTGGGGGGTTTGCCCTATCAGAGGTAGAGTTGTGGGGGTTGTTGTGCTTTTTTGTCTGGCAGAGGTGACGAAAGAACAGAAGGCGTTTCATTGACAGGAGGAGCCATGTTGTTCTCACTTGGTATTTGCAGGTTTTTCTTTTTACTTTCGCATATAATGACTAATGTGTGGGATGGGATATCTTGTACATGATGACAGCTGCAACAAGCTAAACTACTTCGGCAAACAAACAAAGAACCATTTTCTCACTGACCTACCTTAATGGCTCGTCTCCTTGTCGTCCGCGTAGTCGTTTCTGCTTTTTCGACCGTCCCCAAGTCTTCGATATCCGGCACCGACTCGGCCTTGATTTGATCTTCGACCACTTCCTCCTTGACAAAGGCACTTACCTCGGCGTCCAACACTCCCACGTCTCCGGCAATTTCTTCCTGAATCATCTTCTCCTTCTTGAAAGTCGTCTTCTTCTTGCGCTCCGCCACAGCACTCGGACACAGCGCGGCAGCAGCCAAGTCGCACTCGCCGCACTTCCTACCCACAGGCGTGCAGACCGTCTGGCCCAAGCCGACCAGCAGCCAGTTGATCTCGTGCCACTTGTCGTGGGGCAGCCAGCTCTCGAGCTGCGCACGCGTCTCCTCGGGCGTCCGCGTGCGATGCCAACCCCACAAGTTCGTAATCCTGTGCACATGGACGTCGACGCCGATGCCCTCGTCACGACCCCAAGCCGCCGACATGCACAGGTACGCCATCTTGGGCCCAACGCCCGGCAGCGCTGTCAAGCCCTCTATCGTGTCGGGGATGTCGCCGTCGTGGCGGTCGCGCAGAATCTCGGCGGTGGCCTTGATGTACTTGGTCTTGTTGTTGTGGAAGCCGACTTTTTCAATCAGTCTGTTCAGGTCTGGAGGAGTCACGGCCAGTAGTGACGACAGCGTGAAGCCGCCCGGCAGATTGCTGCGCAAATTGGACATGGCGGCGGCCGTTACGGTGTCTTTGGTTTGCGAGGAGAGCATCAGCGCGATGAGCGTTTGTAGCCGTTGGTCGCGTGGTGACGATGCCTCATCCGCCAACGTTTCGCAACCCATGGTGTCCACAGGCGCGGGAATGCGCCGCCGCATGGCCATTGTCGTGCTATAGACCTGGTCCCAATTGGGAGGAGGGTCAACCTTGGTAATGCCATCGGCAGAAGTGATCGCTTTTGCGGATTTACGCCTAGGCTTTTTCGGTTGTGAGCTGGGCCCGTTTCCCACTTGCACAAACTCTTCTGCGACGAATTCTTTCAGTGATTCAGCGGTGCTGGCTGCTCCTTTGGTCCTCGACGAACGTCGCGTCGTCACTGAAGTAGCGGCCGGGAATGACGGGGCGGAGGTTGGATTCAGAGACGCGGGCTCGCCGAGCGACAGGGCGCCGCGCTTGCGCTTGCGTGGCGCCGCCGTCGTAGAGGCTGGGTCAGTGGCAGGCTTCAGCGAGCTCTTTTCGAATGCGACAGTCTTTCCGTCGATGTCGGATGGCACGGACGAGAGATCTGACCATGGGTCACCGGCAGCGGACGGAGGTTGTGGCGGGGCTTGCGAAGAACTTGCTGATGGGGCGGCGTGGGAGTGGGCTTCGTCGTTGTCTTCGTAGTGGTGTTTGATCGGCGCTTGCGAAACTCGTCGTGTTTTACGAGCAGAAGCGCGAGCCGAGGTGGACAAGGTCGGAGTTTTCCGTGGCGAGGACGACAAAGCGCGCATGGCGAGGGCGGCATCTTGCGAGAGGCGCGAACTACGCATGTTGAAGATGGAGAGACAGGAAATGGTGCAAGTGTTGGTGATGTTGTAGAATCAGCAAACGGTGATAGGACGAGAGGGGAGCAGCCGAGACCGGGAGCACGGCAGCCAGGCACGCGCGGGAACGCTGGCCCAAGCTTTGGTGCTTGCGAGCCGGAGGCTCTTGGCGTACGCAACGCGCGGCGTCTCTGTCCCGTAGAACTCTCATGGTGCCGACCGGGCTCCACGCCTCTCAGGTACCGAACTACAACCTCAAACCTCGACGACGATGCCTCTCCAGCCGACCGATATCCCATCGTTCGCAACGACCCAGCTCTCCTTGCTCAATGCCGAACTCGAAGCCGAACGCGCCGAGACCGCTCTGCTTACCTCTGCACACGCGCCCCAGACGCTCGCGCGCGCCGGCCTCGCCATCGTCAACCTGACCGTCGCGTCCCAACGCACTGGCCTAGGCGGCAAAACCGTGCTCGATCTCGAGCAGGATTCGGCCGTCAAGGGCGCCACCGGCGAATTGCTCCAGCATGGAATCCGTGTTGGCGACATTGTGGGCCTGGCCGAGCAGCCGGCGGGGAGCGCGCGCAAGAAAGACAAGGCGGACAAGAAGGAGCGAGGCGTCGAGGGTGTCGTGCTAAAGGTTACGAGAGGCGCCGTATCCGTGGCACTAGACAAGGAGGAGGTCGAGGTTCCTGGCGGACGACTCTGGCTGTGGGTTCCCTGCTGCTGTCTCGAGAGGCTTGCGCGAGAGTCCTATGCTGATGGCTACGTGTGGCAGGGTCAAGCTTGCCAATGATGTCACTTACAAGAGGTACGTCTCTCATATTGCCTGTTTGGTGCGACGCACATCTGATGGATCAAAGAATGTCGCAAACAATGACTCGGCTGCAGAAATTCACAGAAAGTGAATACAGTCCTTTCATTCGTGCTCTGTTTGGCTTGTCGTCGCTCTCCCCGTTCCCATCCGATCTGCCAAGCCCCAATTGGATCGATGCGACCCTGAACGACAGCCAAAAAGACGCCATCAGATTCGCCTTGGGCGCACGGGAGCTAGGTCTGATCCACGGCCCGCCAGGCACGGGTAAGACGCACACGCTGATTGAGCTTATTCTGCAAATGCTGAGGCAGGGGTTGCGGCTGCTCGTGTGCGGACCAAGCAATATCTCGGTCGACAATATTGTGGAGAGACTGGCGCCTCACAAGGTGCCCATGATTAGGCTGGGGCACCCGGCTCGGCTCCTACCGAGCGTCTTGAACCACTCGCTCGACGTGCTCACTCGCACGTCGGACGCGGCCGAGATAGTCCAAGACATTCGCAAGGAAATGGACCAGAAGCAAGCGAGCATCCGCAAGACCAGGAACGGGCGGGAACGCAAGGCAATCTACGCAGAGATGAAGGAGTTAAGAAAGGACTTTCGGGAGCGGGAGAAGCGGTGCGTCGACGAGCTGGTGCGGGGCAGCAAGGTTGTGCTTGCTACACTCCATGGAGCCGGGGGGTTCCATCTAAAGGAGCAGCAGTTTGATGTAGTGATTATCGACGAAGCCAGCCAGGCCCTTGAGGCGCAATGCTGGGTGCCGCTGCTCTCGGCCAAAAAGGTAGTTTTGGCAGGCGATCACCTGCAGCTTCCGCCGACGATAAAGTCTTTGAATAGCAAATCGAAACAGGGGCCGAAGAAGGACGAGGTGGGCGAGGCCAAGGGCATGACCCTGGAGCAGACGCTCTTTGACCGTCTGCTGGCTCTGCATGGGCCGTCGATCAAACGCATGCTCACGACTCAATACCGCATGCACGAGACGATCGTGGCGTTTCCCTCGCAGGAGCTGTACGAGTCGAGACTTGTTGCAGCCGAGTCAGTCAGGGCGCGGCTGCTGTGCCATCTGCCCTATGGGGTTCAGGAGACTGACGACACACGGGAGCCGTTGGTGTTTTGGGACACGCAGGGGGGCGACTTTCCCGAACGGACCGACGACGAGAGCTCGCTGCTGGGCGACAGCAAGAGCAACGACATGGAGGCGGCGGTCGTGGGGTTGCACGTCGGACGGCTCGTCGAGGCGGGCGTGCGGGCAGAGGACATTGCGGTGGTGACTCCGTACAACGGGCAGCTGGCGGTGTTGTCGCAGATGCTGAAGGAGCGGTACCCAGGACTCGAGCTCGGCAGCGTGGACGGGTTCCAGGGGCGGGAGAAGGAAGCGGTGGTAGTGAGCCTCGTTCGGAGCAACACCGAAAACGAGGTGGGCTTCTTGGGGGAGAAGAGACGGCTCAACGGTAAGGCTTTTCTAGGGTGAGGTGCCGAGGTCTGACGGACTAGCTAACCGTGACAGTGGCCATGACGCGGCCCAGACGACATTTGTGCGTGATAGGGGACTCGGAGGTGGTGGGCAGGGGCGGCAAGTTTCTCAAGCGGTGGATGGAGTTTTTGCAGGACCACGGCGACCTGCGATACCCTAGCGTGGACGAAGTAGCGTGAAGACGACGGGCTGTTCGGTGGGCGTGGGGTGGGTTGAGATCTGCCCGGCCCTCATTTTACATTCGCGACTGCTTGTGCAACAGCGGGGTCCAACCTCAGACCCCCGTCCCGTTACTTAAGCTAGTTACCATCTACCCTGCTCGCTCTGACTACCCAGCTCTCCCATCGTCCAGTCGTCTCGACCTCCGCGCTGCTCAAACACCCGCTTGCTTTCTTCTTCGTCTTCTTCTTCTTCTTCGTCGGCTCCCTCTTCTTCGTCTGCTTCTGCTTCTACCTACTTCTGTCCTTCCCTTCCATTACTCGTCGCCCCGTTCGATTCGACATCGCTCGTTTGACACCCGACCACTTTTTTTTACTTCACTTGTCCTCTGGTGAGACGGCATTGAACCTCTTCCCAGACGCTCGCGCCCCGTGCTACAGTAGTCCGCCCCGGAGCTGCACCACCATGGGCCTTTCCATCCCAGCCCTGCCTCTGCATTGCCAGTAAAGCCAACAAACAACGTCAACCCCGATCTTGACCTGCCGCCCGCCTGCCGTTCCAGCCATGGCTGACGCACCTGTCGACCGGTCCGCCGCCTCCGTCCCTGCTGCAAAGCCACCTGCACATCGCCCAAGTTGGAAGGCCGAAGCTATTCGTCGTGGCCAT